AGTTTATAGAGATAAATGCCTACATTTAAAATATATGAAAGAAGAGACATAATAATGGATGCCTCAGAAATAAAAAAGATCATATGGGGCTATTACAAATAATCATAACTAACAAGTTGAATAACCTAGAGGAAATATATTAATTCCTAGAAACATATAACATATCCAAGTTGAGTGAAGAAGAAATAAAAAGCCTGAACAGATAAACAAAAAAATTGAAGTAGTAATTTTAAATCTTCCAATAAAGAAAAGCCCAGGACCAGGGCTTTTGTCTCAAGTGCACATAGAATATTCTCCAGCCTGTAATCCCAGCACTTTGGGAGGCTAAAGTGAGTGGATTGCTTGAGCCCAAGAATTTGAGACCAGCCTGGGAAATATGGTAAAACCCCATCTCTACAAAAAATACAAAATTAGCCAGGTGTGGTGGTGTGCACAGGTAGTCCCAGCCACTCAGGAGGCTGAGGTGGGAGGGATAGCTTGAGCCAGGGATATGGAGGTTGTTATGAGCAGAGATAGACCTGCTGCCCTACAGCCTGGCAAACAGAGCTAGACCCAGTCTCAAAAAAAGAAAAGAAAGAAAGAGAGAGAGAGAGAGAGAGAAACAGCCCAGAAAAAGATAACTTCATAAATTAATATCAATCCTTCTTAAACTCTTCCAAAAAATTGAACCAGAGGAAATCAAACTCATTTTATAAGGCCAGTGTTATCTTCAAAACAAAACCAGACAAGGATACTATAAGAAAACAAAATTCTAGGCCAATATCCCTAATGAACATAGATGCAAACATTCTTGACAAAATGGTAAGAAACTGAGTTTACAAGACATTAAAATGATTATACATTGTAACCAAGTGGAATTTATCCTTGGGATAGAAGGAAGGTTTAACATATAAAAAACAGTAAATGTGATACATCAAATCACAAAAAGACAAAAAAGGAGATAATCTCAATTGATGCAGAGAGTGTTTGACAAGTCAGCATCCTTTCAAGAAGAAAATTCTCAACAGTTACATATACAAGGAATGTACCTTACTATAATAAGACCATATATAATAAGCTTACAGCTAACTTCATGCAAAATGGTAAAAAGCTGAAAAGAAAGCTTTTCTTCTAAGATCAGAAACAAAACAAGAAAGCTAACTCTCACCCCTTCTATTCAATATAGAAATGAAAGTCCTACCAAGAGCAATCAAGCAAGAGGAAAAGAAAAAAAGGAATTCAAATCAGAAAGGAAAATGGTAAGTTGTCTTTGTTTGCAGTTGACATCATATTTTACATAGAAAGCCCTAAAGACTTATCCAAAAACCTTTAGAACTAAAAAACACATTCAGTAAAGTTGCAGGATACAAAGTCAACACTAAAACTTGATTGCATTTATATACACTAACAACAAAGTATCCAAAAAAGAAATTAAGAAATAAATTCCAGATACAATAGCATCAAAAAGAAAAAAATACTTAGGAATACAATTAGCCAATAAGGTGAAAAATCTGGACATTGAAAACTAATTGTTGATTAAGGAAATTGCGGAAGACACAAAAGAATGCGAAGATATTTTGTGTTCATTAATTGGAAGAATATTGTTAAAATGTTTATATAACCCATTTATTTTTGGTTCCATATGAATTTTAGGACTTCTTTTTCCTATTTACATGAAAAATGCCATTTATATTTTGAAAGGAATTGCATTAAATATGTAAATTTCTAAGACTCTCTTGTAGTTAGGGCTTGGATGCAATTAGTTTTGTCAGTGAGGTAGACATCTAGGCTCAGAAAGCAAAGGGATGGTTTCTAGCTTTATCCGTGTCCCTGCAAAGGACATGCAGTCATCCTTTTTATGGCTGCATAGTTACCCATGGTGTATATGTGTCATTTTCTTTATCCAGTCTATCATTGGTGGGCATTTGGGTTGGTTCCAGGTTTTTGCTATTGTGAGCAGTGTCACAACAAACATGTGTGCATGTGTCTTTATAATAGAACGATTTATAAACCTTTGGGTATATATCCAGTAATGGAACTGCTGGGTCAAATGGTATTTCTATTTCTAGATCCATGAGGAATCACCAGTCTTCCACAATGGTTGAACTAATTTACACTCCCACCAACAGTATAAAAGTGTTCTTATTTCTCTGCATCCTCTCTAGTAACTGTTGTCTCCTGATTTTTTAATGATTGCCATTCTAACTGGTATGAGATGGTATCTCAATGTGGTTTTGATTTGCATTTCTCTAATGACCAATGATGATGAGCTTTTTTCATAAGTTTGTTGGCCACATAAATGTCTTATTTTGAGAAGTGTCTATTGATATCCTTTGCCCACTTTTTGATGAGTTTATTATTTTATTATTTTTCTTGTAAATTTAAGTTCTTTGTAAATTATGGATATTAACTCTTTGTCAGATGGGTAGATTGCAAAAATTTTTTCCCATTCTGTTGGTTGCCAGTTAACTCTAATGATAGTTTCTTTTGCTGTGCAGAAAGCTGGAAACCATCATTCTCAGCAAACTGACACAAGAACAGAAAACCAAACACTGCATGTTCTTATTCATAAGTGAGTGTTGAACAATGAGAAAACATGGACACAGGAAGGGAAACATCACACACCAGGGCCTGTCAGCAGATGGGGACTAGGAGAGAGATAGCAGGAGTGGGAGGAAAGGGGAGGGCATAGCATTGGGAGAAATACCTAATGTAGATGACAGGGTGATGGATAAAGCAAACCACTATGGCACGTGTATATGTATGTAACAAACCTGCACATTCTGCACATATGCCTCAGAATTTAAAATATAACAATAAAAAGCAAAAGGAAGCAAAAGCTAAATTTTCGTGACAATATTGATGGTCAAATCTATTCCAACAGGTGTGCTTCTATCAGCTGAGCTTCATGTTCCACCCCTTAGCCCCACAATTGGTATGCTGAAAGCATCTGCAGTGATAAAAAGCTGTTTCCTACCCTCTGAATTAGTAGCTCTAGTGGGTGACCTCACCAGTTCTGCAGCAACCTCCTAGTTTCTGCTCCTTCAGCTTTTTTTTTTTTTTTTTGCAAGCACCTAATTCCCTTTATTACATACCTTTCCTCTTGAAATAGTGTTTTTTATCTCCTGCACTGTATCATAAGCATATGCATATAAATCATAATGTGAACTCTTAAAAACAGAAGTACTTTAGCTGAGGCATTATGTCTATAATCAGTCAGCAGGTCCCCAAACATCTAATTCCTGAATATCTTATATGTCCTGTCTCTACTACCCAATTCCCCTGATGCTACTCTAATTTAAGTCCTCAGCTTCTCTGTCCTATAATGTTGAAATAACATCCTGGGTTTTGGTCTCCTTGATTCTAGCACCGTCTGCTCTAGCCTACATGTGAATCTGATCTTGTCTGATGTCACTTCCTTGTTCAAAATTCTCACATAAACCACCAAAATCCAGTAGATGGTATCCAAACCTGTGATGGTGGTACTTTAGTATGCTTTATAACCTGTGCCCTGCAATGTTTAACCCATATTCTGCTATTCCAGTCACTTATGGTCCAACAAAACTGAACTCATTGTAGTTTATCCTGTCATGTGCTCTTACTTTGCTACACATTTGCATATATTTTTCTCTCTGCTTGTTTTGGATTTCTTGTCCCTTATCTATCAGGGAAACATCTATTCTTCTCTCAAGTCTCAGCTGTCTTCTCACACTCCTTGAAGCCTCTCTTATTATTCCTCCAGGTGGACCTAGATGTTTCTTCCTACATGCTAGCATTAGACTGAACCATACTTCCACTGACATTTATCATCTCTCTCTCCAGCAGGCTTCATGGTTCTAGATGGAAAGCACTGTGTCTTCTCATCTTTGAATCCCCCAAAAGACTATTATAATGCTTGACATACAGTAGGCTGTCAGTACAGTGGAAGGAATGACCAGAGGAAGGAAAGGAGGGAGAATCAGGAAGGGCAGGTATAGAAGTGGGAGGGACCCAGAAACAAGATTCGGAGACCACAATTCTGTCTTTTGAGTTCACTAGTTTTACAAACTCATCTACAAGACTTAGTTCAGCTCCTCAGATCAGGCCCTCTTAAGTTTCCAGAAAATTGAGCTGCTTTTCACTGTTTGCACAACAAAACGTTTCGTTACAGTCCAGGTGCATAGCCTTTGTTTATATATTCTATATTTCAAAAGCAAAAATAAATAAAAGAATCATTGTTCCCTTAATCTCCCAGGAGTTTCACCTTACAGCTGCAGTGGCCATGCCAGTCACCATTTTACACTTTTTGTAACAAGAACCAGGGACTTCATTCTTGCCCTTTTCCTACCCCTTTCTTTCTTTTTACTCCACCCACCCCTCCCATTTTTCTCTTATCCCTACGACACTCAGTCCTTCTCTTCCAGGTTTTACTAGGGCTCTATATCATTAAAAATACAAGAAAAAAAAAAGGTATTTTTACTTTAAGAATAGTAACTCCTCCCCCTTTCCCAATTTTTACATCAAAAGACATTATTAAATGCCATTCTCTTCTACATTTAGAGAACTGCTGATTCTCTGGGGGAGAGAAAGGTGGTTACTTAAGAGGTAAAGCCCCTTAGAGCATTCAAAATGAGGAGTGATTTTGTACAGAGGATATCATGCAGCAGGCTGGATGTCTAGTTCCAATACCTTTGTTAGCTCTGAGACCTTGAAGAAGTGATTTCTAGTCTCGGTGTGCCAAAGCTTCATCTGCAATTGAGAGCATTGGACTGACAATCTTCAAGGTCTTTCCTGCTCTAGCATTCACTGACTCTGCTATTTTTGACACATTGAATAATTAGGAGCAGCCAGTTTTAGTATCTCATTATAGCAAAAGCAGCAAAAAAATAATAATGAGCATATACCATCAATGTGCATCTATGTGTTGTGTTTGAGTGAGGATCCCGATACATAATAATGGCTGATAATTTCCACTGAAAAAATCCCAAGTATTAAAGATACTCTTCAGAAGATGTTCTCTCCAGACTCTCCTACAGGTAATCATGAGCAAGAGGGTGGGTATCATCGGAGCTGGAGTCAGTGGCCTGGCTGCCATAAGGTGGTGTCTGGAGGAGGGGCTGGAGCCCACTTGCTTTGAAAGGAACAATGATGTTGGAGGCCTGTGGAAATTCTCAGTTTGTGGCACATCACTGGAACCCAGTGGAAGGAGATGGTGGGTTCCAAGGCAAATCAAATCTGGTCAGTTCTAATTCAGATTTGGGAGGCAGGTCACAAAAGCTCCAGATCTGGAAAGTGAAATCTTACCTCTCCAATCGTACTAATGCACAAAAAACTATTTCACACCAGCAAAATTTGTCCTGAAAAGGACATCTTCAGCTCATTAAACATCATCACCTGCATGGTGAAGTCCAGATCTCCGAGCTGCAAAGGGCACTAATGTTAGTAATTAACCAAAAATATGCCATGGCTTTCCCATGTAACAGACATGATTCTGTTCTTTATTGCTCTTAAATGCCAGGACCATGGTTAGAAAAGAGAAAAAGCAAACCTGGACTGAGATCCTGAGATCAGAAGTCCTGAGTTCTAGTCTCAACTTGTAGGTTTTCTAGGCAGATAGATAACAAGCCAGTTGCTTTTTTTTTCCCTAAACTTCAAATGCTCATTTGTCAACTGCAGAGGATATGATTCTATAATTAACTTATGTCTACTGGGCAGATAGAAATTAGTATAGATAATGATTTCGTGTGATGTGTTTATGGCTGCTGAATAGCCTATCAGCTCCAAATACAGAGAGAAAAATTATGGTCTTTGCCATTTGGGCTCATTCTTATAGAAATTATATAATTAGGAAATACTCCTTGTAAACACATTTTTTTTTTAAATTTCAAAGCCAAGTTTGGAGAAACTTCTAGCCTTCTGTCCTGAATTTCCCAGCCATTGTAATTAATTGTCAATGATACATATTTGGCTTGAAAACATTATATCCACATCATTCATCTTGTAACTACTTTCTGTCCTGGTCTTAGTTATTGCCCAGCCTGCAGCAATAGCCTCCTCCAATTGAGTATATTAGTGCTAACTTAGAATATGTTTTTATTCTTCTCCAAGCCTTTTGAAAAATTTTTTTGGTTTTGTAACCCTGAAAGCACTACATGAGATAGTGAGGTCATTAATTTTTCCAGCAGGGGGTAATCAAGAGTTAATATTTTTCAAGAATTTAATTTTCCTTATTTACATTTGCTCAGGGAAATATGGCCAGCTTAGACTAAATCATAAAATGGCTTTCTACCATCTCCCTAGTAACAATTAAATGCTGCTTGAGCACCTATTTTGGTAAACTTTGTGCTACGTACTGGGATGACAAATATGGAACTTATATAATCACTCTTTATACATGATTCCATTTCATTTGATGAAGAAAGCTATAATATAATTCCACAATCCTTTGACGGCAAATGGGCAAAAACTCATTTGATAGCAAAACCTCTCCTGAAATCATAAGGCTGAAAAATGTGAATTGGATCAACATGAGGCTAAGCCTCACTTTCTGTTGCACTGCAGAAATTTTATTGCATTTGACAGATTGTGGCCCCAGATCTGACTAGGTGTATTATGGAGCAAAATCCAAAAATGTACACAGTCCAAAATATATCTGGCCCTAAGATTTTTAAATAAGAGATTATATAACTACAACAAGATAGGCCTGGTCGCCATCAGTTCACACTCTTTTAGAAGAGTGTGGGCTACAGAAATCTTAGTAGGTCAAAGGAAACCTCCCACAGGGATGACATTTAGCTCGGCATTGAAAGAGAACCCCAGACAAGCAAAATAGAGGAGCACCTGTGACACAACTCCTAGAGAGTGCATTTTCCATCAAAGACTGTGGATGGCACTCCATAGACCTATGTAGTCATTGGCAGTGCACCAGCACCAGGTAAGAGACCAGCAATCCATGAAAGGTACAGAAAAGGCAATGAACATGGTGTGTACGGAAAGGGATTTATGAGTTAGCCAATATAGCCAGATCAGAGTTTAAGGAAGCAATAAGCGATAGTTCAATAAGATACAAAGTTGGATTCTGAGTTATCCACAAGAGGAATTTTTTATTTTCCCTAAGGTCATGTTTATAAGCAAAATTCTACTCAAAGGCATGGTGAGGATGTGGACCCTTACAAATACTCAAAACTTTAGCCCCCTCAACATACCTCAACCCTTCCTTCTTAGAAAAGTTGCTTGGCACAATATATAATCAGAGAGGGATTTTTTTTAAATGTGTTACGTAAGACTTTATCTTACAAGCCTTTGTTAGAAGGTGTTACAGCAGACAGAAATTTGATAATTCTGAACTTTTCACTACTTACTTTTTCTGAGAAATGAAAACCAAATGGGATTTAAATACTAGCAGGCAATGTGAGTGTATTTTAAGTTCCATCCACTCCAAAACAGGGCCTCATGCCCCCAAAAGATTTTATTACTACTGTAATAAGAAGTTGCTTAACAGCCAGGTGTGGTGGCTTATGCCTATAATCTCAGCATTTTGGGAGGCCGAAGCAGGTGGATCATCTGATGTCAGGAGTTTGAGACCAGCATGGCCAACACAGTGAAACCCTGTCTCTACTAAAAATACAAAAATTAGCCAGGCGTTTTGGTCGATGTCTGTAATCCCAGCTACTCTGGAGGCTGAGGCAGGGGAATCTCTTGAACCCAGGAGGCAGAGGTTGCAGTGAGCCGAGATCATGCCACTGCACTTTAGCCTGGGCAACAGAGCAAGACTCCATCTCAAAACATGAATGAATGAATGAATGAATGAATGAAATTACTTAACAAACAATAGGTTAGTATCATTTTAATTGCAAAAGCTGAACCCAGGACTATTCGAACTTTCTCCCACTCATTTATTCATTTATTCATTCAACAAATACATACTGAGTACATTATGTGTGGGGTACTATATTAAGCATAAATACAGATAAGAGACCAGCCAGCACTTTAAACGCAGAGAGAAAACAAGTATTAGAATAACTTCAAGTGACTGTGTAATTAGGGCAGTAAGAACAATGGGAGCTTAGTGAAGTTAAAGGTGAGTTGGCAGTAGGAGAGAGGGAAGGTAAGGAAAAGCATGAGAAAGAAGGCAACTTTTGAGCATATTTTGAGGGCATATTTAGACAAGGAGATATGGGACTGATACGCAGAGCTGGAATCAGAAAGATCAAGGCAGACTGCTCAGATGCATGTACAACATCTTGGAATTAACCTCTGACTTTGCCCTCAAGTTAATTATGTTCTCATGGGAAAGTTGAGAGATGAACACAGTTCTCTCTCAACTGTGTTAGTGCCCACAGCTGCTTAGGGATCTGGTTCCAGGGCAAGCTCCCTCAGCTAGAAGCAGAGTCTATGTTGAATTTCTTCTTTACTGGCTCAAATCACACCTCGTGTTGAAATAATAAAAATGCACACACTCCCTGGAGTAACTGACTTGTTATATAATACATTTGCTTTTTTATGTTTGTTTGGAGAACAGTCTTTTAGGGCAAATTTCAAGGAGCTGTAGTGTACATACTCTTCTCTCCTTGTGTTATAATTGACTGGGGTCAAGGGGCAAAAAAGCAGAGATTCATTTAAGATGGAAATATTCCAAGACCTCAGCATCTCTGCTTCCCAGAACAGTTTTGCCTTCATTAACCAGGCTCTAGCCCACAGCTCAGCCCCACCTCTTTTCAATGGGCAGCTGAAAAAACTCCTTCCAACCTCTCCTCACAACCATCAGTAAAAGGCACCAGCTGTTGGTGACAAGGAAGCACTCAACCTGCCCAACTGCCGGGCATGAGCCTTCACCCTTTTTCTGACCTCCACAAAAATTTTAAAGTGATGGTAAAAAAAAAAAAAAAGGTTAAATCCCTGAGCTTTTGTCCTTATGAGAAATACAGCAACCATGAATAGAGGAAGATTATGTTTTCAACTTGAGAAAAAATACTGAGGCTTCAGGCAGCCCCCCACTTCCCCACTGGGACACAATCCTCTCTTTCTAGCACTTTTTGTCTCCTTCTTCCAGGGGTCAGACGGTGTGAGAGGAAGATACATATCTTGAATCCAGCAGCAACGTGACATTCCATCTCTTTCCCCCATTGCACAAGAATCCCTTCTGGACCTCAGGAAGCAGAAGCTGCCAGCTCTTAAATGTATTTTCAAGGCAGCATATTGTGTGCACTTTTACCCTACCCTGACAACTGAGAGGAAATGTTTATTTTCAAGTTAGCCTTTGACTGCTTCTAAAAAATAAGCCGCTTTTCAATTACACAGAGGCTTTAAAATGAAGTGCTAAGATTTAACACATGTTCTAAGGCCTCTGGTTTCGTGTGTTTCTTTGGTGAGGCGTAAAGGCCAGTAACTGGTGAGCCAAAGGACAGGGTTCACTTACAACAGAGCTGTGGTTCTCAAAGTGTGGTTCCTATACCAGCTGCATCTGCATCACCAAGAACTTGTTAAAACACCCCAGACTCCACTCCAGACAGACTGAATCCGAAATTCTAAGAATAGGGCCCAAGAATCTACGGTCTAAGGAGCCCTCCAGGTGATTCTGATTATACCAAAGTTGGGAAACCACTTCAATATTGGGCTCTGTTGCCAATGAAGAGTTTGCTGAACTCCAACAGCAAATAAATAGGCTAGAAGCCAAAGCCTCCTCTAGACTGTTTTGTTGTTTCTTTGTTTTATTTGTTTTTAACCTGAGGATAAGATCAGAACCAGTGATGTCACAGGAGAATGCCAGAAACCACTAAGTGACTATAAAAACAGAGCTAATACTAAGGGTAATTACAATAAGGGGATTCACGTGGGGAGAGCTCAGGTTCTGTGTCAGGTGCTACGTGAAGGGCTTTCCATTCCACAGCTTACTGAGAGCTTTTAATTTTTGCTTATGCTTTTAAATATTAAAAGAGGTTTAGTCAACCAAGAATTGAACCACTGTGTTCACCAAAGGGAACACAATTTGTGGCTTTCTCTTTAAGCTTTCTTATTCTCCCTAGGACCACACAGAAGAAGGCAGAGCCAGCATTTACCAGTCTGAATTCACCAACTCTTCCAAAGAAATAATGTGCTTTCCAGACTTCCCTTACCCTGATGATTACCCAAACTATATGCACCACAGCAACCTCCAGGAATACATAAAGACATTTGCTCAAAAGAAGGATCTTTTAAGATACATACAGTTTGAGGTAGGAGACTTATAACTTGTACTGTTGAAATTAATATATGTGTGGGTTAGAGAAAAGAAGACCGCACAGTATTATAGAAATTAGAGCCAAATGTTTGGGCACCTCAACAATCAAATGTTGGCTGTGATTATAAAGTATTCATGCACTGATTTTTTTTCTTTTAGACTTATTAGTCCGCTATTCTCTGAGAGCTTTCAGACTACCTTACAAAATAGGGGCAGCTATCCCATCATTGTCCACTTTTCACCCTCATGCTCTGATATTGGAAATAATCCAAAATGCTTTAGTATGTTATAGGCATTTTGTCACTTCAATGCCAATGAGTTGTAATTCAAAAACCACAGCATTTGGTAGGAATTCTGCCATTATGAAAAGGTTAACAACTTAAATGGGAAATACAGTCATTGCCCCCATCTTCACCCACTCAGTTCATTAGATTTTTTTTTTATTAAAAAGACTTGAGATTTCAGCATTGTTTCTGTGAAAATAATGTTTTACATTTCTTTAGGACTCTTTTTTATTGAGCATTTCTGTCTGTATGTTTGGAACTCTTAACCTCAAATAACTGCTGTTACAGGCAGAACACGTGCATATAGTGGGAAAAACAATCAGCAAAATTATGAACTGTGGTTATATTTACATTATTATTTTACCTGGAGTAGCCCCAAATGTAGAGTTAAAATAAAATTTTCCAATAGTCATTTTATTCCATGTATTCGCTTCCATTTATGGTATTAATATCAACAAAGATTAACGAAGTTTCTACTACGTGCTTGCATTGTGCTATGTGCTATATGTAAAACAAAAAGAGGTCTAAGACTCATCTCTCAAGTTTATAATCTAGCTGTGCATCAGAATAAATATATAAAGAATAAGGAATAAGATTCCAGTAACAACATCAATCAAAGAGAAAAGTTTTTAAAGCTATCTATGGTTTATAAATAGATCAATGCCACAGAGATCATGAAGCAAGAGGCAACACTTTGGGAGAAGGTATTTTCTAGAGAAAGCAAAATTTAGTTGTATTTGTTAGGCATTTTAGGTAAGTGAGTGACATGAGTAAAATTAGAGAGGTGGGAAAATACCCTGCTGATTTGGAGAGCAATGGGCAAATCAAGTTGGGTAGGAGGGAGACGTATCTGCTAGGATGAGATACGGCCACATACATCAGTAAGCTAGTATGTACTGTACTTTGAAAAATAGAGGATTATTTTGCAACCATGTAAAAGAAATTCAGAGAGGGACATCCAGAGTTTATGTGATGGCACCACAGTCATCAAAGATTCAGCTTCACCCTTCTTTGCATGAGGCTTACATCATGAAGTTCGCCTCATGGTCCAAAACAGTTGCTGAGCAATCACACCTGCCTTCTAGACAAAAAAAAAAAAAAAAAAAAAAAAAAGGGAAAGAAAGAGGGCAAAGGGATGTCCTCCCAGCTGAATCAGCTCTCCTTTTACAAATTCTCCTGAAAAGCCTGTCCAACATTGTCTGCTTATATCTCATAGGCCACTCTAGTTGCACAGGAACCTGGAAAATGCATCCCTTTGCTGGGCATGTTGTCACTCCAAACAAAATCAGGGTTCTGTTAGTAAAGATGAAGAGAGAATGGACATTGGGGGAGCAGTTTGCAGAATCTGTCATAGAAAAGTCTGTGGGAATAGCAAAATAAGATCAAAAGAGTAAATTGGAACAAAATTGTATGGACTTAATAGTGATAGCATTAGAGATGTAGAATAAGTTTTAGAGGCTGTGAAGTAACAGAAATCACTTTGAGCAGGAGACGTGAAATGAATATGGTCCTTTAGGAAGATTAATCTGACAAGCAGGATGAAGGATGACTTGCAGGCAATGGGAGGCTGAAGACAGGTTAGTTATAGGTTCTTGCCATAGTCCCCGCAAGGGAATGATAAGGACTTGAATGAAGGCAGTGTTAGCAATCACAGAAAGAGTAAGATTGGGAGAGAAATTATTGTTTAAACATGAGGCAAGGATGGAGAAATAACAAGTAAAAAATAGTTGTGGATTTGAAGCATAACTGGCTGGAAGGTTTATGTCATCATTCAGAGAAATAGGAAAGTCAGAAGCCAGTGTTGAAGGAAATTTAAGTAGGTCAGTCAAAACCTGCTACATATGAGGATGAGGTGGCCCTCCAGATGGAAAGATCCAACTAAACTAGATAAAAGAGAGACCAAAAATAGATGTATTTGTATATTCATAACAGGAAAGTTGCTAATAGTTCTAAGGGAGAGTATTTATGCGGAGCAAAAGAGAAGCCAACAATCAAACCTTGAGATATACCCATATTCTTGAGTATATGGAAGATGAGGTCAAAAAAAGGAGGAAGCCATGTCAGTAGAGGATAGCCATAACAACATAGATTTGTTATATGACATCATTCACAAAAACATTCAGTGTGATTTACCTGTAAATCAACTAACTTGATGTCAAAAAGTAAATGTACTCCAGTGAGTAATTTTTCTTGTGAGATTCAAAGACTCACTGAAGATTCACTGTGACTCCAATTTTAATATCTTTCAATATATTTCTGAATGACCAAGAGAGCTCATAATTATTTCCTCCACAGAAACAATTCAAGAAGGAAAAAAACTTGCACACACAGAATTATAAATAGAAAAATTAATTTTCTGGTTAAGACCCTGGTTTCCAGTATAAAGAAATGTCCCAGCTTCTTAGTCACAGGCCAATGGGTTGTTGTTACTGAAAAGGATGGGAAACAGGGATCTACTATTTTTGATGCTGTAATGATTTGTTCAGGACATCAAATATACCCCAATCTGCCAACTGATTCCTTTCCTGGTAAGTTTTGAAAATATATAATAATCTGGGGACTTATATGCAAACATCCAGGGTTAGAAACATCTTTCTATAGATATTACATGATTATTCTTAAAGTCCCAAAGATTTCAAAAGAAAAAAATTTAAGTTTAATGATAAGATATAGTAATAAATAGCCTCATAAGCCCTTATATTAAAATATAAAGGACCTGCAAGCCAGATATCAGACAAACACAAGTTCCTATTTTATAGACAGTAACTCAACTATAGGTCCTTACAGCACATGGGGTCTCCAAGCAGAGTTACATTCAGAAAAAGTAGAGTCCAACTGCCAAACAGTTTAAAGAAAAACACATTTACTTATTTATAGGAGACTCCTAAGTTTCTAATTTCATTAGAAATTAGAAGTTTGCAAATAAACTTCAGAAATTTCAGTGATTTGTGTGTGCACACACATGGGTGTTGAGTATAGCAGCACACTTTGTTACCATTCAAAAGCGGCAAACCTCAAAATAAATAAAATATGGATGAAGCCTTACTTCCATTTTTCCTTCCTTCCTTGCCACAGGCACACAGTCTACTCATTAGAGTTCCAATATCTAGGTATGATGTTCACAGGCCAGGCAAATTAAAGAGAAAAGGTTTCAGGAGGAATGCTAATGTTAACAGCCAGTATATTTAATGTTTATGAGCATGGGATCAGAACACCTGGGCTCAACTTATTATTCCACTAGTTCCTTACCACTTACCTTCTTTGTCTCAATTTCGTCGTGTTTTAAAATAGGGACAATAGCCTACCATGCAGGGATGTTATCAAGATTAAATAAACCATGTAAAACATTTAGCACAAGATCTAGCCCCCAGAGTTAACCCAATAAATATTAACTATTATCAAAACATAAATTCTCATGTCTTAAGATTTTTTTAAGGCACTGAAAGTAATTTTTAGGGAGCTTAATGTCAAAAAATGCTAAATGGATAAATGTACTTCAACTAGCGAATTTTTTAACTAAAACTGATATAGGTTAAAAAAACACATTGAAAACATCTTTATAACTTCTGAAAATCATTCAAACCACTCGCCATGTTCCACTTAGGCCTGAACCAGTTTTAAGGCAACTACCTCCATAGCCGAGATTATAAGGATATGGAAGCCTTCAAGGGGAAGAGGGTCCTCGTGATCGGTCTAGGGAATTTGGGATGTGACACTGCTGTGAGCTCAGCCGTCTGGCTACACAGGTACCTGACATAAAAGGTTTTGGGAAATAAACCTAAGACAGGGCTGTGCTACTAAATCAGCAGTCAAGGTACTAAGGATGGTACTTGCTGTCACACCACAAGAGATCCACCTGTTGTATGTGCCCTTTAAATCAAGGAGGACTTGAGAAATTCTCCATGTGAAGCCAAGTAATGTGGCCCATGCTAGCAAGGAAGTACATTCCATTGAATCCAGAGGTAAGTGCATGAGTGTGTATATGTACAGGTGAGTGTGTATGTGTGTATTTCTTGTTTTAATTTTGTATTCTAATCACCTCCAAATAGACTAGTTCTTCCTAGTTAGGCTTAATCTGTATTTATTTAACGGTATTTATTATAATTTATCATGCAAAAAGCACTGTGTTTACCACTCTGAAGGTCTGAAAGATATGCATGATTTCGTATTTACTAACATTAATTCACTCAACAGCAGGTGCTCAACAAATATTGGGCACTTATTATGCTTACTATGTGTCAGAACTATGCTAAACTAAAAATAAATGCGTAAATAAGTTAGACTAGTTCCTGACTTCAAGGAAGAGTTGGAGATGGGGTTGACAGGTACACACAGACTATCACCAAAGGAGGCAGTGAGTCTTCCAGTAGAATTAGGTGTGGCAATAGCAGCACAGGGAAAAGAGAATCTAACTTATCCTGGATGAGGTCAAGAAAGACTTCCCAGAGGACTCCAAGCTGAATCATCTATCACCAACAGACACTTAAGAAACAACATATTTTTAAGAAAACAGATTCTCAATAAATTCTTAAATTGATGTAAATAAACCTAAATTTTTTTAACTAAAAATTCCCTTCAGTTATCACAAAGTTAAAGTCTATTTTGCAAAGACGGTAAACTAGATAAGTAGCCAGACTAATCTCAGGGATGAGGCAGTTGCCATGGAAAAGTCCTTGGGGTATGCATGTAGGGAGAACTGAAAGGACGAGGAACAGGGAACATAAGTAAACCCTTGACATCCTCAACTTAATTTTAGCTAGATATTTAGCTACATTTTCCCCCACCTAGGCCACTGACTACCATAAGCCATCACCAGTGGGGCTTACTGGATCATCTGGTCCCTTCCAGACTTGCCATCTTAGTCTATGAGTATGTGAAGATTAAACCATCATAGTTGAACAGAGAGCCCTGTTGTTCCTAGAGGTATGGTTCTAATCCTTTCAACCACTATACACCTGCTCTCAGGGGTGGTGAGAGAGTCCTGTCTCCACTAGTCTAAATTTTAGACTGTTTACTTTTTAATTTTACTTTAAGTTCTAGGATACACATACAGAATATGCAGGTTTGTTACATAGGTATGCATGTGCCATGGTGGACTGCTACACCTATCAACCCGTCATCTAGGTTTTAAGCCCTGCACACATTAGGTATTGATCTTAATGTTCTCCCTCCCCTCACCCCCCACCCACCAACAGGCCCTGGTGTGTGATGTTCCCCTCCCTGTGTCCATGTGTTCTCATTGTTCAGCTCCCACTTAAGAGTGAGATCATGTGGTATTTGGTTTTCTGTTCCTGTTATAGTTTGCTGAGGATGATGGTTTCCAGCTTCATCTACGTCCCTGCAAAGGACATGAACTCATTCTTTTATATGGCTGCTAGACTATTTAGGCCTGCCTTTTAAAAGTGTTCCTACCTGGATATTGAGAGAAATGCATGGGAGTATCCAAAGAATTGTGTTGTGTTTGCTTATTTCTTATAGAGTGATACTGAAATCTGTATTGCCTTTCCCCACCAGGTCATTATCAGTACCAGAAGTGGTTCCTGGGTCATGAGTCGGATCTGGGATGATGGCTATCCTTGGGATATGGTGTATGCTACCCACTTTTCATCCTTTCTCTGGAATGTCCTTCCTTCCTTCATCTCTGACTGGTTATATGTCCAAAAGATGAACACATAGTTTAAGCATGAGAACTATGGCCTGATGCCTTTAAATGGGTACTTTAAAATAGAAATTTTTTATTCAAAAAGGGGGTCACTCATTTAAGTGAATTTATTCTCTCTACAACTTACTTTTGTTGTCTCATTGGGCCTTGTAAGATTAAATTAAAGGTTTCACAGGTGACAGGACAGACCCAGAGACCATGAATGGCTTGGAAACCTTATTAAAATTAGTCCAGTAGAAAGAGTATGGAAATATCTGAAAGGGAAATGAAGCAGGCAAATAAATCATCCTGACATGGATGATTCATTTGCGGTAGCTATAAGCTATAGCATCGAACTTTGAGGGCTGAACAAACTCAAATTGGTTTTTTGGAAGAAGATCTTGTCCGTGCTTATGGGTAAACAAGGATATCAATAATAATACCTGCTTCTCAAGATGGTTGTGGTATTCAATAATATAGAAATATAAAAATTGTTTTGTAAATGATAAAGCTTTAAAAAAAATGGTTCTTCCTAAGTGTCAAGTTTTCTAATGTGCCTCAAAGGGGCAAATAACAAAATAGTGTTAATCAACATGTGTCAGCTTGTAGGAAGTCTCAAAACAAAGGTGCACACTTCCTCCACCCTTGAAATTTTGACATTTTTGCAGAACCATCAGGAGGCATGGAACACGAAAAGCCATGGAGAGTCACAGAACTAAGGTGGCCAGTAAGATTAGTCAGATTCATTTATTTACTTCTTTACAGAGATAGGGCCCAACACTTACTAATTAGGAAGGTATTCTAGATAGAAGAATCAGCATATCAATAGAAAAAAAAGACTATTTAAGTTAGTAAGAAAAGAAAGAATTTTATCTCCTGGCCCATGCTAGCCAAAAAGTTTCACTGTGTTTAGAGAAAGAGGTGAAGAAAAAGTAAGGAGGAACTGTAAATCAAAAGAACAAATGCCAGATTTAGGAGCTAAACTCTCATTCCAAAGCACTTATCCTACCCAGTCTTCCAGACTGCTATAACCCTGAAGAAAAAAAATGTTTATTGTATGCATTTAAAATTATGTTTAACACTGGGACCTACTTGAGGGTGGAGTGTGGGAGGAGGGAGAGAATCAGCAAAAATACCTATCAGCTACTATGCTTATTACCCAAGGGACGAAACTGTCTGTACACCAAACCCCTGTGATACATAGTTTACTAATATAACAAACCATGGACCCCTAAACCTAAAATAAAAATTTTTTTTAACTGTGTTTAATATAAGTCCCATAGCTTGAGCTGGTTAAGATTTTTTATCTCGTATGAGTAACTGTAAATTATATTTTGGCCTTGCCATTTAGACAAAACAGAGTTTTAGAAATTCATTCATTCTAAAAACTAAGCTTCCTTTTGGAAAGGGTTCCAGTTACCCTAAGTTTTTGGAGGGAGAAAGTGGGAGGAAAAAACAGGTTTCATTGCGGCCTGCACTTTACTACCTTGTACGGTAAAAGAAGAGGTTACAGGATTAGAGACACACAAAATGATGTGGAAGCATAGAGACAAATTTCAGGACTTACAAAGTATCTTTGTGTCTGCGGTACTTTCAGGAAATTCCAGAATTCCAAAGGAAACTTAAATCAAAATGAAATATATCATCCTGAAAAATATTATTCCTAGAATTTTGGCAACTAAAATGCAATATCAAAGTTGTTATGCCTTTTTGTGGCCAGAGCTGATGAAAGAAAACCAAGCATGGCAATAAAACTTCCCACCACTGCAAGTCTGATTTCCCCATGTAAGACAAGACTTTAAAGTTATGATAATAGTGTACTTATAACAACAGTGCTTGCATGAGCCTGGCACTGTTTTAAATGCTTTAAGGATAATTGGTCATTTAATTTTCACAACAACCTATGAGGAAGATTCCATCATCATCCCCATTTTACACATAAACAAATACAGTAAAGCAACAGCTAGTAAGAGATAAAGCTAGGCTATTAGCCTGAGCCATCTGCTTCCAGAGTTGGCATTCTCAATCACTTTATTACATCTGTAAATTAGTTTTATTCTCATTTAGGAAAGGAATTGCCATGAGGGAAGAGAGTTCAATGGCACTCATGCTGATATTTAACTGCTCGATGTCATTTTGGCTGTCACAGGTATTTCTTGGAAATGAGGTATTTACAGCAAGGGTGTTTGCCACTCATCTCTGTAGTTTCCTGAGAAAACAGCCTGTATTCAATGATGAGCTCCCATCCCGTATCCTGTGTGGCACTGTGTCCATCAAGCCCAGTGTGAAGGCGTTCACAGAAACCTCAGCTATGTTTGAGGATGGGACCATGTTTGAGGCTATCAACTCTATCATCTTTGCAACAGGCTATGATTATTCCTACCCCTTCCTTGATGAGACCATCATCAAAAGCAGAAACAACGAGGTCACCTTGTTTAAGGGCATCTTCCCCCCCACTAATGGAGAAGCCAACCTTGGCTGTGATTGGCTTTGTTCAGTCCCTTGGAGCTGCCATCCCCACAGCAGACCTGAAAGCCTGCTGGGCTGCTAAGGTATTTGCAAGTAGATGGGCCATTCTGTCTTTTATTCATTTTCTCAATGAACATTTTTTGAACACCTACTATATGCAAAGCACTGTGCAAAGGAAGCAAGACAAACATGTTCCTTGACCCCTCAAAGCTTAAAATGGGATGTGGGGATGCCATAATAAGGGAAGTTGGGGGGGGCGGCGGTCCTAGTGAGGGGATTTGGACGTTAGTTATTTTGCATAGAGCAAGCAGCATGCAGAAAGTCATAAAGGTGAGGAATAGCATGGAATGTGGAATAGCATGGAATGTGTAAGGACCCAGAAACATTTTGGTGGAAAGGAATGTAAAGGAGAGGCAGGGAGTTGCAAGAAATATAGCTTTACAAGCTGCGTTAAAGAGCTTAAACTTCTCATAGGGATTTGGAAGGACTTTGCAAGATTTCAAGCAAGCAAAAAAAAATAACAGAGGATCATTGCAATGTGAGGATACATTATGAAGGTTGGAAGGGCCCTTGTAAGTGTTGACGGTGTGCTAGAAACCTCATTGGTGTCAACTTCTGTTAGAATAACAAAGTCAGTGACAATCTTCTTCTTCCCTCCTTCTACATAAGACCTCATGGTCTCCAGGGGCCACAAGTATGCTTGTGTGAGGAAATCAAGAATATGAGGATTGGCCGGGCGCGGTGGCTCAAGCCTGTAATCCCAGCACTGTGGGAGGCCGAGGCGGGTGGATCACGAGGTCAAGAGATCGAGACCATCCTGGTCAACATGGTGAAACCCCGCCTCTACTAAAAAAAATACAAAAAATTAGCTGGGCATGGTGGCGCGTGCCTGTAATCCCAGCGACTCAGGAGGCTGGGGCAGGAGAATTGCCTGAACCCGGGAGGCGGAGGTTGCGGTGAGCCGAGATCGCGCCATTGCACTCCAGCCTGGGTAACAAGAGCGAAACTCCGTCTCAAAAAAAAAAAAAAAAAAAAAAAAGAATATGAGGATTACATAGAGAAAGGCAATGTCCCAAATATATTGATTTAATTTACTCCAGTCATACTGATTATCATATTATGATTATCATATTAAAAGTGTTCTTTTATTCAAGTATTCTCCAAAATGTTGACCAATAGGTATAACTTACCCAACATAACTAATCCATAAAAACGTATACTATCAGTAATTAAGAAAATATTACAATATAGAATGTATATATGTTGTCTAAAATTTTGTAGATAAATAAATTTCTATTTCAAATACACCATGAAAGATCATTGTTTAAATAAACACCATCATGAAATCTTTTGTAGGTGCTCCCCTGCAAAATACTTCTGTTGTTGTTTTTTCCTTTAAAAGGCACAAGCGTGCCAAGAGCCTCAGGTATTGTGAGAAGACTGGATATAGTTCATAAACCTAGAAAATTTACTTGAAGCAAATGGTATCATTTATTTATTCAGCAAATACTTATTGAACACCTAATCATGCACTACAAATGTTAGAGCAACTTTCTTCCATTGTTACAAAGGCAAAGAAGCTACCATCACCAGTTAAAATAAGTTACATTAATGGCCAGGCATGGTGGCTCACGCCTGTAATCCCAGCACTTTGGGAGGCCAAGGCGGGTGGATCATGTGGTCAAGAGATCGAGACCATCCTGGCCAACATGGTAAAAACCTGTCTCTACTAAAATACAAAAAATTAGCTGGGCATGGTAATGCATGCCTATAGTCCCAGCTACTCAGGAGGCTGAGGCAGGAGAACTGGTTGAACTCGGGAGGCAGAGGTTACAGTGAGCGGAGATCGTGCCACTGCACTCCAGCCAGGCGCCTGACGCCTGGTAACAGAACAAGACTCTGAATCAAAAAAAAAAAAAGAAACATAAGACCTAACACCATAAAAACCCTAGAAGAAAATCTAGGCAAAACCATTCAGGACATAGGTGTAGGCAAGGACTTCATGACCTAAACACCAAAAGCATTGACAACAAAAGCCAAAATAGACAAATGGGACCTAATCAAACTCCACAGCTTCTGCACGGCAAAAGAAACAGTCATTAGAGTGAATCGGCAACCAACAGAATGGGAAAAAATTTTTGCAGTTTACCCATCTGACAAAGGGCTGATAACCAGAATTTACAAAGAACTAAAACAGATTTACAAGAAAAAAACTAACAAGCCCATTCAAAAGTGGGCAAAGGATATGAACAGACACTTTACAAAAGAAGACATACATGAGGCCAACAAACATATGAAAAAATGCTCATCATCACTGGTCATCAGAGAAATGCAAATCAAAACAACATTGAGATACCATCTCACACCAGTTAGAACGGCGATCATTAAAAAATCTGGAGACAACAGGCGCTGGAGAGGATGTGGAGAAATAGGAACACTTTTGCACTGTTGGTGGGAGTGTAAATTAGTTCAACCATTGTGGAAGACAGTGTGGCGATTCCTCAAGGACCTAGAAATAGAAATTCCATTTGACCCAGCAATCCCATTACTGGGTATATATCCAAAGGATTACAAATCGTTCTACTATAAGGACACATGCACACGAATGTTCATTGCAGCACTGTTTACAATAGCAAAGACCTGGAACCAACCCAAATGCCCATCGATGATAGACTGGATAGGGAAAATGTGGCACATATACACCATGGAATATTATGCAGCCATCAAAAACGATGAGTTTGGGTCCTTTGTAGGGACATGGATGAACCTGGAAACCATCATTCTCAGCAAACTGACAGAAGAGCAGAAGATCAAACACCGCATGTTCTCACTCATAGGCGGGTGTTGAACAATGAGAACATATGGACACGGGGAGGGGAGCACCACACACTGGGGTCAATTGGGGGGAAATAGGGGAGGGACGGTGGGGGGTGGGGAGCTGGGGAGAGATAGCAAGGGGAGAAATGCCAGATGTAGGTGATGGGGAGGAAGGCAGCAAATCACACTGCCATGAGTGTACCTATGCAACAATTTTGCATGTTCTTCACATGTACCCCAAAACCTAAAATGCAATAAAATAAATAAATGGGGGGAAAAAAAGAGAGTTGCTTTAATGTAGTGAAATTCGCCAAAAGCTAAAACTTTTCTGCTCCCCCTTAAAACGACTTACATATGTGCAGGGCAGATGTTTAAAATCCCATTCTTCCTTTCATTATCTCATTTAAAATGCCATGAACCTTAAATGGAACTATTTTATCAGATTATTTCTTCAGAGAAGTTTTAGGAAGAGGATGCAGAGGAAAATTGAAAGAAATTGTTATTATATGCTTGAAGTGTACCAAGCACATATGTTGAGGATTAGGTCCTCCATAATGTTACAGAAATATGAGATTGAGTGATTTGAAGCTAAAAACATCTCTGCTGTCACTATCTCACTACAGGCCAGCTTTGCCGTTCCCAAAGAAGGTCCTTTAACTTTTCAGGTCTTTGTTTCTGTGAACTGGTATTTTGCTAAAGATATCAAAGACAGCTCCTCTTGATATAAACATTTTTAGGAATGTAGTTTATAAATATCAAATGATTTCCGCCATATGTCATTATGTAGTTCTGATTTCTTTGTATTTTTCAATATTTTTCTCTTCATTTCTTTTCTAGACTCATATACCCTGCCAACTACAAATGAAATGATGGCTGACATTGATGAGAAAATGGGGAAAAAACTCAAGTGGTAAGCAATTGTACTTGCGAATAGAGCAAGTCTCAAAATGTGCCTTATATGTAGAAAAATATTAATACACTCTAAATATTGTCATTAGTCAGAGTTTATATTTTTTGAACACTTGTAATGATCAAACAATATTTAGATAGTAAACAGTCATCATACTTCTCTTGTGTAACTCAAGAATAGAGGTTTTTTTATTAATGATAATTTTGCCCTCCAGGGGACAAATGGCAAAATCTGGAGACACTTTTGGTCATCGTGAGTGGAGAGGGCATGCTACCAGCATCTTATGGGTAGAGAACAGGGATTCTGCTAACCACCCAACAGTGCAGAGCACAGTCCACTAACACAAATAATTATCAGGCTCAAAATGTCAATAGCACTCAGATTGAGAAAAGCTCTATAAGTGACTACAGCTGACCTTTGAACACAGGTTTGAATTATATGGGTCCACTTATACATGGATTTTTTTCAATTAATATACTGCAATTTTCTTAAGATTTGCAGCAATTTAAAAAACTCAAAGATGAATTGTGTAGCCTAGAAATATTGAAAAAATTAAGAAAAAGATGCTGTGTATAAAATATATGTAGATACTAGTCCATTTTATCCTTTGCTACCATAAAATATACATAAATCTATTCTTAAAAAATTAAAATTTATGAAAACTTAATGCACACACTCTTATAGCCTACACATGGCGCCATTCACAGTCAAGAGAAATCTAAACATAAAGATGCAATATTGTCATAACTGCATAAAATTAACTGTAGTACATAATGTACTAGTGTAATAATTTCATAGCCACCTGCTGTTGGCATTGCAGTGAGCTCAAGTATTTTGAGTATCTACTTAAAATGCTGTGTGACACTAATCATTTTCACCTGAGCAGCTCATAGCTCCAGTAAATTCTGCACCAAAGTAAAAAGTGATCTCTCAAGATTCTCACATATTTTTATGTTTAGCACAATGCCTTCAGCCCTGGAACAAGTAAACTTAACAAACATTTACAGAACTCTCCATCCCAAATCCACAAAACACACATTCTTATCAGCACTACATCACACCTACTCTAAAAGTGACTACATAATTGGAAGTAAATCACTCCTCAGTAATTGCATAGCATTTCACAGGTTTAAATGAAACATTGGTTAGCTGCTTTTTTGTTATTTTCCTCCCTTATTCCTTCCTGTCTCCATTGTTAAGCACAATTATCGGCATAAAAGAGGTTTTCAATACCCATTTTTAGACTGCATTCTAGCCTGGGCAATAAAGCAAGACTCCTGTTCTCTCTCCCTCTTTCTCTTCCTTTGTCTTTCTCTCTTTCATTCTTTTTTCTCTTTCTTTTTTTCTTTTTCTTTTTCCCAAAAAATAAAAAATTAAAATTAAAAAAAATAACACCAAGGGATCCATATAAATTGCCATTAATGATGTTGGAAGTGCTCCCAAGAAGCAGAGAAAAGTTATGACATTATAAGAAAAAAATTGAGTTGCTTAATATGTACTATGCATTGAGGTCTGCAGCTATAGTTGCCCACCATTCTCAAGATAAATGAATCTAGTGCAGCTATGCCAGCAGGCGTAAAAACCTTTCACTTCTTGTAAAATATTTTTTTATTTTGTATTGAAAATGCAGTTTTTTGGCCGGCGCAGTGGCTCAAGCCTGTAATCCCAGCACTGTGGGAGGCCGAGGCGGGTGGATCACGAGGTTAAGAGATCGAGACCATCCTGGTCAACATGGTGAAACCCTGTCTCTACTAAAAATACAAAAAATTAGCTGGGCATAGTGGCGCGTGCCTATAATCCCAGCTACTCAGGAGGCTGGGGCAGGAGAATTGCCTGAACCCAGGAGGCGGAGGTTGCGGTGAGCCGAGATCGTGCCATTGCACTCCAGCCTGGGTAACAAGAGCGAAACTCTGTCTCAAAAAAAAAAAAAAAGAAAAGAAAATGCAGTTTTTATGTGGGTGCAGGATTGCTATAAGAAAGTATACACATAGACTCTAATATAATTTGAGAAAAAGTGAAGTCATGATATGACAACTTAAAGCAAAAAGAAGGTGAAGGATCTAAAGCTGGAAAATTTAATGCCAGCAAAGGATAATTTGATTATATTACAAAGAGCTTTGGCTTAAAAAATGTCAAGATAACAGGAGACGTGCCTGTGGCCAACCAAGGAGGAGATGAGTTCCCAGATGCTATTACAAAAATCATTGAGGAGGAAGGATGTCTGCCTAAACAGATTTTTCAATAAAGCACCCTATTCTGGGGGGAAAAAAAAGCCACAAAGGTCATTTATTAATAAGGAGGAGAAGTGAGCACCAGGATTAGGCAGGAAAGAAAAAGCTAACTCTACTGTTCTGTGCAAATGCAGTCAGACTTATAATCAGGACTGCCCCTATCTATAAAGCTATCCCCTCAAACTTTGACGGGAAAGGATGAATATCAGCTTCCTATCTTTTTGTTGTACAAGGAATCCTGAACAAGACCCTTTTTCTGGATTAGCTCCATCAATACTTTGTCCCTGAAGTCATAAAGTACCTTGCCAATAAGAGACTGCCTTAAAAGTTTTTTTGATATCAGACAATGCCCCTGATCACCCAGAACCCCATGAGTTCAACATCAAAGGCATCAAAGTGGTCTAATTTCCCCCAAACACAACATTCCAATTCGGTCTTTATATCAGGAGGTCAGAAGGACCTTTAAGACTCATCACATACCATACTCTGTGGAAAAGATTGTCAATGCTGTGGAAGGTAACCCCAATAGTGAGAACATCATGAAAGCCTGGAAGGATTATACCATTCATGATGCCCTAGTTGGTTACAGAAAAAGCCATGAAAGCCATCAATCCTAAAATAATATATTTCTCCTGGAGAAAACTGGGTCCAGATGTTATATAGGACTTCAGAGGATTTACAACAGATCCAATCACAAAAATGATTAAAAAGATTGTGGATATGGCAAAATAAAATGTGGGAGTGAAGGGTTTCAGGGTATGGATCATGGAGAAATTCAAGAGCTAATAGACACCACTAATAGATGCCTTTAATTACACAGCAGAGGAAATAAAAAATAACTTGATGGAGATGAGTGCTTCCAAAGCAGTGCCATATGATGGAAAAGAAGACATAGGAAAAGCTGTGCAGCAGAAGGTTTTTATTATCCAAGGCCGCTTTTGACTTCTTTTATAACATGGACACTTCTATGATAGAGGCACTGAAACTAAAGCAAATGATAAAGGAAGGATTAATACTATATAAAAACATTTATAGAGAAATAAAAAAGCAAAAGTCTGACAGAAATTACAAAGTATTTCCATAATTACACCAATGCACCTGCCTCTCCTGCCCCCAGTCCAATTCTACCTCCTCCATCTCTTCCACTTCTGCCACCCCTGAAACAGCAGACCAACCCCTTCTGTTTCTCCTCCTCCTCAGCCTACTCAACATAAAGATGATGAGGATGAAGACCTTTATGATAAACCATTTCCACTTAATGAATAGTAAATATATTTTTTCTCATGATTTTTTAATATTTTCTTTTCTCCAACCTACTTTATTGTAAGAATAGCATTTAATACACAAAACATACAAAATATGTGTTAATCACCTGTTTGTGTTATTGGTAAGGCTTCCGGTCAACGGTAGATTATTAAGAGTTAAGTATTTGGGGATTCAAAAGTTACACATGGGTTGTTGACTGCAAGAGAGGTCAATGCCCCTAAGCCCTGAGTTCTTCCAAAGTCAACTGTATACAGGAAGTTTCTTTACTTTTTCAAACATTTAACATGGCATTGGTATGTCAACCTAAAGGAAAAAACTGAGGGAAATGTAATATAAGAAGAGAACTGATTTAAGCCAAGTTTGAGGACTGCAACCCAGGGAGCACAGAGTCAAATTGCCCTGAACATACACTCCATTAGCAGCAATTACAAGTAGGTTTTTAAAGGAAAAAAAAAAGAGTCAATTTCTAAGTTGTTTACCAAGAATTTATATTAAAATAATATAAGCTATTGATTGGCTATACACTGTTCTTTGTATCACAGATTCCAAGAACATGAAGATGATGGGTGAGACAGCTAGTCAGGAACCAAAATGCCTTTTAACAATTGCCCCCAAGCACTGGTAGAGGGCAGCATGACAAATCCCATATGCCTGGCTCTCTGAGCTTGATAAATTTTGTATATCTCACATAGCACAGACTACTCTGAGCTATTATTCTTCTCTCACATTGAATGCCACAATGTAGTCACCCATTCAGGGCCTAGAGAAGAAAAGACATGGAATCCTCAGATTCAACAAAACCTCCTTTGCACAACTTCATCGAATTCATAGAACAACTCTCAGAGGTGGGCATTTTTATGTGCTAATAATTCATATAGCTTGATACCCTTTCCTTTAGAGCCCAGTAGGAATAAAGATGAGGAAACAGAGAGGTTAAAATGTTCATCTTATTACTTAAAGGATAAGCTGCTCTTCAGAGTTTCAAAAAGCAAATTTGGCCACACACCAACTAAAAGAACTATAAAGGCAAAAAGGAGTGATCTCTTTTCTCTCCATTATAAAACGTAATGGCCAATACTCCTGTAACAGAAGACAGGTTAACAAGAGAAAAACATAACAGATTTATTATGTGGACATATATGCATGGGAGCCATGGAAAACATGAACTCAAAGGAGGACCAGTTGATTCATGTTTAAATATTCTCTTCACTGGGGATAGGGGAGATGGAAGTGTAAAAAGAAATTATTTTCAGAGGAAATTAATAGATCCAAATAACAGTGACCTGAACCAAGTTTCTCTGGGCTCTGGGGGAGATGTAATCACCCAACAGATTCATCTTGCTCATTGCCGAGAAAAGCTGATGCACTGAAGAACAGCAGGTTTTTCCAATAGAGAGTTTAATAAACACACAGTTGTTAGAGGCATTTGAACCAGAGTGACTCCATCTTGAAGAGGGAATGGGTAAAATAAAGCTGAGACTCACTAGGCTACATTCCCAGAAGATTAGGCATTCTTAGTCACAGGATGAGATAGGAGGCCAGCACAAGATTCACATCACAAAGACCTTGCTGATAAAACAAGATTCAGTAAGGAAGCTGGCCAAAACCCACCAAGACCAAGATGACGACAAAAGTAACCTTTGGTCGTCCTCACTATTCATTATATGCTGATTATAATGAATTAGCATGCTAGAAGACACTCCCCCAGCACCACGAGGGTTTACAAATGCCATGGCAATATCAGGAATTTACCCTGTATAGTCTAAAAAGGGGAGGAACCTTCAGTTCTGGGAACTGCCCATTCCTTTCCTGGAAAACTCATGAATAATCCACTCCTTGCTTAGCATGTAACCAAGACATAACGATAAGTATACTCAGTTGAGCAGCCCATGCCACTGCTCTGCCTATGGAGTAGCCATTCTTTTATTCCTTTACTTTCTTTATAAACTTGCTGTCAAGTTTTTTACTCTATGGACTGGCCTTGAATTTTTTTTGTGAGAGGTCCAAGAACACTTTTTTGGGGTCTGGCCAGCTAAGAAGGATAGGAGTTTATTACTACTCAAATCAGCCTCCCTGAAAATTCAGAAACTAGATTTTTTAAGGATAGTTTGGTAGTCGGGGGCTAGGGAATGGGGAATGCTGATTGGTTGGGTCAGGGATGAAACCATAGGGAGTAAAAGCTTGTCTTCTAGTCCTCCTGGGAGGAGACCACATGACAAGATGAGTAGTTTACCAGTCTGGGTGGTGCCAGCTGGCCCATCAGAAGGCAGGGTCTGAAAAATATCTTCAGCACCAATCTTAGGTTTTATAATAGTGATATTATCCATAGAAGCAATTGGGGACTTCTGAATGCATGACTCCTGAGCCCTAATTTCTTATCTTGTGGCTAATTTGTTAGTTCTACAAAGGCAGTCTGATCTCCAAGCAAGGAAGGAGTTTGTTTCGGAAAAGGGCTGTCATCATCTTTGTTTCAAAGTTAAACTATAAACTGAATTTCTCCCATAGTTAGCTTGGCCTGTGCTCAGGAATAAATAATGGCAGCTTGGAGATTGGAAGAAAGATGGAATGATTAGTTCACATTTTTTTCACTGTCATAATTTTTGTAAAGGTGGTTTCAGAAGTAACATCACAGGATATTGGATACCAAAGGGAGGAAAGCATGTCAAACAAAGGCTGTCCTGTTCTGCAGATGAAACCTCAGAGAGCAGCTCTCAGAAAGAGAGTCAGCAGCCTATGATAAAAGTTTCTCTGTCAGACATTTAGTGGTGCCTGACTCTCAGTTTCTCTCTCCTAATAATCTTTCCTAGAGTGGGCAAGGGAGTCCTCCCAGAAAGCCTAGTTTGCATCTTCTGTTTACTTCCCTTATTTTCTCCACAGGGTACAAACCTCCTTCACAAAAGGCAGCTTTTCAAGGATGTTTTTGTTTGCAGGCCCTCTGAATAGCCATCTCAAAATTTGTCAAGAAAATATATATTTTGCAGTGAAATATTTTTATTTTCTTTAATATGAAATAATTTATATTATTACATAAATTATAAAAGTATTAAAACCACCCATGAACCTAATGTTAAAGAAACCAATCTAAAAATCTAACATTGGGGCACATTCTATGCAATGTCTTATAAAGAATAATTAGGTGTTAATGAGTAAACTAAGTTAATTGGTCTCCTTAAACCAGAGGGTCAGTTTACTCCAGGCCACATGGCCAAAGACAAAAGTCCAACATTACATCAAACTCAGAGATTAGGAAGGAGGGGAAAAGCAGCTCACTTTGCCAAAGAAGAAACAATAAATTCAATTTTGTGGAAAAGGGGGGCATAAACAGAGGTGCTGTCTAAAACATTATTTTTCTGAAAGAAAAAATAAGAAATTAATGCTCCTATTTGCAGCTATAACACTCATGCCAGTATGTTCTCTTCCTTTCTCAGGTTTGGCCAGAGCCAGACTTTGCAGGCAGATTACATCACATATATGGATGAACTGGGCTCTTTCATAGGGGCCAAGCCTAACATACCATGGCTCTTCCTAACGGATCCCCACCTAGCCCTGGAGGTGTACTTTGGCCCTTGCAGCCCATACCAGTTTTGACTGATGGGACCAGGGAAGTGGGATGGGGCTAGAAATGCTATCCTGACCCAATGGAACCAGACAGTCAAGCCAACCAGGAAAAGAGTTGTCAGTGAAGCTCAGAGACCACATCCCTTTTACAATTTGCTTAAAATGCTTTCATTCCCATTACTCCTTCTGGCTGTTACACTTACATTTTATTAATGAGAAAGTCTTTGGGCTCTCAAAAGTCAGCCTAGCAGTGTAATCACACAATACAACACACACATACACAATCACAACATAGTTTCTCTCTGCCTTCCTGAAGATATGAAAATCAGTCTTGGCCTATTTGAATCAAAGTATAAATAAAATGGAAAATACTCAGCCTCTCTCTCTCTGCTGGGAATCTGTTCTCTAAAAGGCTTTTCGCATGCTGAACTGGCAAATTTGGGGATGCTTGAGATAAGACAGGAAGTTGAATAAGCATGAGCACAGATTTTCAGGCTAAAAAAACTTCAGTAAGATGTAAAGGTGTTTTATTTTGTTCATTATAGTATATCAACCAATGTATTTTCACAATATTAACTGAAGTTCTTAAAATTAAATCAACATAGAGAGATAAGTTTATACCAATACAATAACAAAGAAAAAATGAACACATCTCTTGAAAGATACATACTGCCAAAGCTCTCCCAAGAAGAACTACATAAACTGAATAGCTCTAAATCTATTGAAGTACTTGAATTTGTAGTTTAAAAGCTTTCCCACAAAGCTCCTCTCTCTTGCTCCAATTCTCATGCTCCCTCTCTCATCATGTGACATGTCTGCTTCCCCTTTACCTTCTGCCATGATTGTCAGCATCTTGAGACCTCACCAGAAGTAGATGTGGACACCATGTTTCTTGTACTGCCTGCAGAACTATAGGCCAAAATAAACCTCTTTTCTTTATAATTACCCAGTTTCAGGTAATTCTTTATAGCAACACAAAATGTGTAACTGGCAAAAGGATCCTGCTGTTTACTGCTTGTAGAAAGAAGCCAACATAACAAGCGTGAGGTGTGACAGAGAAAGAGTGAGTTTTATTATCCGTGAGCAAGGAGAAGAGTGGGCAGAATTTTCCGTAAAATTTCCACTCTTCAATTTGTGGAAGTAATGCAGGGTTTTGTCTTGTTTTTGTTTTTGTTTGAGAGAGAGAGGGGTTTGGAATGCAGAAGAGGAAGAGCCTTAGTGGTGTTAAGTAGTATGATGTGCTCCAATGGCTTATCTTGAATTATTGTTCCATCTGGTGAAGGGGCCGGTGCCATCCTGGGCTCAACCAGGTTACAAATCAATTGCTGTCAATCTTGCAGTTAATTTCTAGCTAGGGGTGAGTTTTGGCCTTGACTGAGAAAAGAATTCCAGAAGTATCTGGTCCATGTCAGAATCTGGCTCCCGAAGCTTCGAAGAAAATATATGCCCAGGTAAGTGAGCATGTGAGCACTTAACAAGCATTTGAGTTAATAAATGTACGTAAGGCATGGGAGCATAGAATGGGAAAAGAAAGGGAGTGGAGGTTCACAGCACATTCTGAGGCTGGATTTCTTCAAGGTGTATCTTCAAATTGGGGAGAAAGGAGGAAAGAAAACAAAGTATTAAAATGCCGTTTGAACCGAAGCTACTTGGTTACAAATGAACTGATACACTAGGTGTGGTGGCATGCACCTGTAGTCCTAGCTACTTGGGAGGCTGAGGAGGGAGGATTGCTTGAGCCCAGGAGGAGTTCAGGGTTACAGTGAGCTATGATCATGCCAGTGTACACTACAGCCTGGGTAACAGCAAGACCCTGAATCTAAAAAATAAAAACTAAACTGATAAAAATAATAGATACAGCATTGTAGTCATAGGAACTCATTAGTGTTGATTCTCTTTCTTATATTTGTATAGTGTCACATTTGAATCTTTTACAAATATTTGCCTACTAATTTATATGGCATTTCTTCTGTTAATGTCACTCTGCCTTATTTTATAATGAAGAAATTGAAACTTTGAGGTAATATAGAGGCAAAGCAAAGCCTCATACTCTGCAATACAAGGTTCTTTCCAAGAACTATTTGTCTATTATATTCTCTAAACAGCACATGAGAGAATTGAGAGCCAAAGGACATACTTATGTCACTACTTATGTAATATTTTTCATATGTGAAGTAGGCAATACTCTTCATAAATATAATTAAATGCATTGTGCCCATTTTATTGACTTATGTGTATCTAATACACACAAACATGCATGTATGTATATAAAATGTGCATGATATATGTTTATGTATATACTATACATGCATATGTATATAAAATGGGCACAATGCATGTAATCATATCTACAAAGAGTATTACCCACTTCATAATGTTCATAAAGAGTAGTATTACGTGTGTGTGTGTGTAAAAATTTAACCAAAATCATAAAGGAGATGTGAAGGGACTAATGTAGAGAGCAGAGAAATTTGTCCTGGCATCTCAAGAAAGGCTTCCCAGAGGAGCTGCCATTTGATCTGGACTATGAAGAATATGCAGGAGAAGATGAAAAAGAGTATTCTAAGCAGAAGGAACACATTCTTCAAAGACATGATAAAACAAGTTCAGTGCTAAGAGTAAAGGATATAAACAGCAAGTGGTAGAAAAGGATGAACAGGAAGCTAGGTCAGACCGTAAAGGGCCTTACGTGTCATGATGAGTTTGTAACTTCTGATGTCTACCACGGAGATCTTGAATTTTGTAGGAAGAGAACTCTGGCAGTAGTGTGGAGGATAGACAAGTGTCTACCTGAATGTGCAGGGTAAATGGAATGGTAGAATCAAGGAAAACATTACTGTTTACATTGGGAAACTGAGTATACCATAACTCTTTTGACTGAACTAAGTAATCTCAAAGGACTAGGTCTTGAGTACAAAACAGAGATGAAAAGTTAGGATGAGCTGAACGTGAGATGCTTGTGAAGATGCCCCCAAAGAAATTGGATATCTGAATCTGGAAGGCAGAAGAGAGAGATTTCAGATTAGTATGGTTAAAAATAGCCATTGGAGCCATAGACATGGATGAAGCCAGCCAGGGAGAGGGTGTAGAACCAAAAGAAAATAGGAAAGGAACCCTGGTTGGGAAAGAGAAAAAAGAGAATTAAGAAGGAATCATTAGAAATGTAGAAGAGGAAACGAGGAGCAAGTAATGTGCAGGGGTATAGAAAAAGGAGTTGCAAGGAGTTAGTAAACCCAGCAAATGCCCATCAACAGGACAATTCCAAAATCTATGTGAAAGAATTATGAGGAAGAGGAGACAGGACGAAAATACCAAAGGATTTAAACAAAAAATTGTCAGAGAAAAAAAAACATGAAACAAACATATTTTTGAAATTTCAATCTCAATTAAAATAAAAAATACACATTCAATAAAATGTCATTTCAAACCATAAGTTTAGGAAAACAGATTTAATAGAAAATTAGCAAAGTTGGCAGGGTATGATAAAAAGTAGTCTTTCTCAAGTGGTAATGAATAAAAAGAGCCAAATGGAAGGGGAAGGGGTGGGAAGAGTGCTCCCTACTGAGAGGCCCCTATCTGCAAAGTTCTGGAGATAAGAAAAAGCATTGCACATTGGAAGAAATGGGGAAAATCCTTTGTGGTTTCAAATAGAATTGGGAGGGAAAAGGCTAGAAATGAGGCTGGAAAGCAAAACGATGCCTCTAGTGGTAAGGGAGATTCTCATACTAAAGACTCAGCAGGGATCTGGGCCTTACTGGGCAGCTACACCGATCAAAAGGCAGACCCTTGAACATGGCACCTTGTTCTGTATCTACCAATCTCTTTAAGGACATAAAACCACAGTCTGGTTTTTATATTACTTTGATGACTATACTACTTTGATAATTAACAAAGGTATATCTGGATGCAGTGTCATAATATGGCTTTTCAGTAAAAAGTACTTGAGGGCAAAATGAATATTAAATTAAGCCACAAGGAAATGATAGCTGAAATTGCTATGCATATATTTAAAATTTACATCTTACATTGATTGAACTGTAGTGATCTAGGTGCCTTCAACTGCCCTCTCCTTAGAATAACATGCAGATAGCTTCACTGATTACCTTTTCTTATGTTATAATAAAAGAAGGATATAACCAGAGCCTTGAGGACTACATTTGTTAATTTCCCCTCTCTGAAATAAGACAATGTCATATTCAGGTATTTGGTTTACTAATATGTCTTAGATTCATCACCATCCTACTCAACTAATCATCAAATGAGTTTCATAGCTAAGAACTGACTCATGTTATATATCTGCCTTTTTAATGTATTAAGAAAATCCTTAAGCTCCGATAGGCTTTGGCCACATACAAGACATCCAAACCCAGATGCTTTTGGGGACTAGACTGAAAACAAGTCAGTAAAGCAGACAGATTGTAGATTAATCATTCTGTTGGCACATAAGATATAGATAAATCATTCTTTACTTCCACAAAGATATCTGCAGGCCCAGGCCAACCAGATTTTCTAAACTTTTTAGAGAAGTATTGTATTGATATTTTCATCTGTTATTTTTGGATTTTTAATGTTTAGCAACAGCTTTAAAAAAAACAGATTTATAAGTCTTAGATGGGCTGAAGAAAACTCAGTGAGGGCAGATTTCAGCCGAAGAACCTCCAATTCAAGACCCTTCTCTTTACCTTCTCTGAAAACAATATGTATTGCCATGTTCCAGCCACGATTCTCAAGATTCAGAGGGAGTATGAAAATCTAATTTAGCCCTTGGTTGGTATTTGTGTTCTCTTTACAACATCTAGCCTCCCCTTTAATACCTCCTTGGACACAAAATTCATTCATTACTCTCTGGAGCAGCTTTCAGATAACTGACTGCCTCTGGCATTTACCTAGTACAGCCACCATTCATTCACAGTGGTGGACACCAGCCCTGTGAGATGGAGGTTCAAATGCGGGAGTCACAGCTACCTGCTCAACAACTAAAAGCAAAACACTTCACTGATTCCAAACTAGAGTCTTCATAACTTAATATTGAAAAAAGAAATAATTACTTCTAGGAATCTACTATATAGATATTTTTGCATAAACGCACAAAGATGGATGAACAAGGACAGTCGTTGCAGGCTCATCTGTAATCATGGAAAACTGGAAACAATTGAAATATCTATGATAGTATAAAATAATATACAGTAAAATATATGAGATCAACCTATATATACTGACATGGAACTCTTCTCAAAATACATTGTTTAATGAAAAAAGTAAGTAACAAAATAATACAGTATTTCTTCATTATGTAAAGTCCATGTGTCTATGTGTATATAAATATTATTTACACACAGTAGGAAATGTCTAAAAGCCAATTGTCATCAGTAGTTTTCTCTGAAAATACGACGGGGGCTGGAAATGAGGAAGGAGTAGGAACTGTCCTTTTGTTTCTACATGCTCTTGCATTGAGTTTTTTCAATGAAGACATTTTCATACATGACTTAAGTTTTAAGAAAATAAATTTTTTTAAATAGGTACCATTTAGTCCAGAAAGCACCTACAAGGTGCCTGATTGGTGAACCTTGTGAAGGCAAGAGAAAAATGAGATTTTGTGTATGCATTCTAGTCTCAATGGCAAATTATTTTTCTGCTTTCTCAATGACACTACTTTGTCCTGTGTCT